AATTGTAGTGATTAACCAAGACGCCCGTCGCGGCCGGAAACTTCGCTCCTCCCCTGGGAACGTCGGCCGGAAGAGGGACGAAGAGGGTCCTGGGGAATAACACCTTTTGTGGGTCGCGAATTAGCCCGGCGGAATATTCAAATCGCGGAGCCCGCTCGAGCGGAGCTGTTCGAGGCATTTCAATCGCTCCTCGAACCCGTCCGGAAAAGTCGGGGATTATTCCACGGCGAAACGTTTGAACCGCGGACGGCGTTCTTACGAAAAGCGAAAAATAAGCTAATTGAGGGAAAGACGTGTGAAATCTTGTAGAAATTAACGGCGAGCATCGCGAGGCGGAAAATATTATTCTTGCACTGTCTTCGTTACGCGATAATTGAATGTAATTACAAGCAGCAGGTTAGAACCCGGCGCGAGACCGACACGAATATCAGATTAAACTTTTGATCTTTTAAATAAATCGCTGCTGGATCCTTATAAACATTACAGCCACCGATATAAATCTCTGAAAGCGTCTAGAACAAATTCTCGGCGATTCCAGTAGAAATCCAACGAATTCATTTCCGTGGATCAATGATTCAACGATTTCAGTTTCGACGACCGATCGAGGTTGGACGGAGATTCGACGACAATTAGCCGGTTCGAGTGACCGGTCTCCGTCGGTCGAGAACGGACAATGAATTAGACACGGCTTCGTGATCCGGTAAAATCGGGCCCGAGGCCACATTATAATAATGCGAGATTCGTCGATCACGGCACGAGGGTGGCGCGGCGAGAGAGCGCCGGAGTATCGAGGCGGACACTCGACACAGCTGTCCGGTGGAAACGCGCCCATTGTGCGGCCTGGTAACGCGGGCCTAACCAACCGTAAACGCCGAAAATCTAATTGACGAAATTCAATTTCGCGCCGACAATGCCGCCCGCCGCGGATTATCGTGTCTCCTGGCTGTACGCTTTTCGAGAATTACACCGGGATCGGGCCCACGAGTCCGTCGCGATTCGACACGCGGCGAGGATTCGGCCAGTCGTTCGAGTCGCGTTAATGGCGGCCCACCTTCCGGAGGCCACACGTGCTGGCGACGCGTTAAGCCGATGGGCACACTTTTACGAACCCTGGGAAACTTTGAAATCCGCTGTTCAAACATTTCGATCGTTTCCCTTGGAAAATAACGCCAACGAACAACGAGGAACGATTATTTTCAAATATATAACATCGCTCGATTCCTCTCCTTTCATAGATACAACGTGACAACATTTTCATCCGACCATCCTCCGCGGTCAACGATAAATCCTGCTAATCTCCGGACCCGAATTCTGAAAGAGAGCCTCCCCGCGTATCGTGTTTTCGAATTTCCATCAAAATGGCGGAATCGCCGTCTCACCCCTCTCTGTCTCCCGAAGAACCGTGGATCAACGTATTAGGCTGGGTGAATTATCGGAGAATCAAAATAATTCGATAGATGGGGTGCGTGTATTACAAGAGGGGTGCGCATTTCTGCACGTTGGGGTGCCAAAACATCCGCCGTTGCCCCGGCGAAGTATTGTCGTGGCAAGTATCTCTCGCCAGTTCTTCTATCGGAGTCACGTTCAATATAAACTATAAATTGGCATCATTCGAAGAACATAGGTCCAATTCTATACATTCAACGATTAATTTCATCGAAAGGCTTTTCTTGCTACCAGAGACAAACCACCCTTATCCAGCGGACGTCAATACTTTCCCGTGCCACTGTGATCGTATTTATTCATTTGAGCTAATTTTTTGGGCGTGGAACCGCCTATTAGATTGTCGCGTTGCGCTCCAGGGCAGATTGATGCCGTGGCTCGGAAAATGCAGTCGAGACAGCTGCCGGGACAATCGGCGGCGAATTCGCGGCCGCTAACGACGATAATTCGAGTCGCGTCGGTTGAAAACCGATCTCGCCGGTGCAATATCTCAATAAAAACGACGACAGAGGACGAGGCGTATTTAAAATGCGGAAAGGCAAACGGTGGCGTGTCAAGAGCCGTCAGGTGGCCGGTCGAGATCGCACAATGGCTCAATTCGGGGCGAAAATCCGCCGACTAAATCTCCCATTCAAATGCGATCTCGACCCCCTGCGTCAAATGGGACCTAAGTAGCTACTTAGTTGCACATTTGGCTCGAAACTCCGGCTAGCCCCCTCTAGCCCGAATAGTCCCGGCGTGCGAGGCGCACGAGTTGAATTCGCGATGCTATCTCTTCGCTGCGCGATGCGAGCGCATTACCTGGCCGCGTCACGCTAATCTGCTTCAAATTCGGCCGGCCTTATGGCGGCTATTATGTTACGCGCTCGCGCGGTTTCTTTGCGAGTGAAACGGACCGTTCGCAGCCTCCTTTCATCTGCAATTCCCCAGTAAATACTACTCTAATCCTACACACTGCTCATTGTAAGAAGCAACTGATTGCATGTACATTATCTCCTTTAACACTAGAACCACCAGTTCATTTTCTGAGGAATTATTGATGGAATCGATGTAGATAAATCTATACTACAGTACAAGCTAATTAGAATCTCGATAAATACATTTTAATACATTGTATAAGAAAATACGAGTCAGTTTTACTGGTCGGTAGTTCTAGTGTTGGGAAACATCACATTGTTCCTAAGAGAGGAGCTTCTCTTTGCTAGAAAGGAACGCAAGACTAATAAAATTTCAGTAATCCGTTCTCGATGCTTGTCTCCACGCGACGTCGCAACGCGTAAAAGTTTCGCGACCCCTGGGGAGCCGGTTGAGCTGGTTGATTAAATCGGCATCAATTATCCCGAGAAATTTCTATTCCCGGGCATATAATTAGAAGCGATCGGCCCCGTCGCGGGGACCCTTGGTTAGCCGATACCGCACCAAACAGGATAATTAGTTTTAATTGCCCCCGGGCGAAACTTATCCCTTCCCCGTCGACGCATTAAGACCAAAGTTGGACGGGCCACAGGAGGTTTAGGTTTCGCGAAGCGTGAGCAGGTAAGGTATACACGTACTACGTGACACGGTTGGTAAACCCGAAGCTGGCTTTGTTAAGCTCGGATTCTGAGTGCCTTTGATACGTGTACTTGCACGCTAACTAACCAACCTAAGCTATCCGCAACGGGCTCGGTTCGCGTACGTACGCGATTCGAGCGTGTGGTGCCCGCCTTCCTATGTCGACGCCCAGGGACGTCTAGCTGATGGTTCACCCTCCGGTACAGCGAATTTTCAGTCCCGGCGAACTTTCAGTCCCTCTCGAAACCGTATTTTGCATTCGAACCGTTCTATTAAGCGCCCCGTCAAAACTGGGTCAATACGGACGGAACCCTTGGGAAACTCCGCGTCCACTCTCCCCATGGAAAAGATAAAAGAGACGGTAAGGATGGCGTCGTAGCTTTGAAACTCTAATTGATTCCGATCCGATCACCATCGACCAGTTCCTGTGTGACGGTGATTGCATTGCCAATGATAATGCAGGATCAAGAACGTATCAATAGCTTTAGCATCGATTGCACAAAAGAAAACCACGTCTAAGAGAAGTGTTCCCTTTCTTCGCCAGATAAGACTTCTCCGTGGAAATGTGTGAATTTTATCTTTCTTCGAGTTGCAAGCTTAAAACGTCGAATGTCAACGTGAACTCGAACAACGGAGGAGCCCGACAATTCGCCGCCCCTGTATTTCGTCTACGTTAGCCCCGTAGCATCGTCTATACGAGTATGACCTACACGTGCGCGATACATTTCCATCTGGGAATTGAATTTCCTTGGTAATTTTAATGCCATTGTGGCAGAAGGGACGGATAGAGAGGCACAGAGAAAGAGTGAGAGGGAGGCACCGAGACAGAGGGTAACAAACAGAGCCACAGGGCGTGCATCCCCTAACCACTTCGTAGACGCAAAATTTAGTTGGAGACGAATGCGATATCCTTGCCGTTCCCGCGTGCTTCTCCGCTCGAAGTGATTCGAGCGAGTGAAATTTAGCTGTGTCTTCGTCTTTAGGGTACGTCGTTCAAATATTTTCACACCGGTCCATTTTTCTCTTCGCGTCTATAGGAGGCGGAAGGTGATGACTAGTAGGTGCTTCTTCGAAGATGATTTCCCGACGTGACAAATTAAGAATTTCTTATTCGAATGAAACGGAATCAAGTTCAACGCATCGGCGACGCTGTATTTCCGGTGCTTTAGCCTAACCCGGAAAGTCGGTGGATACAAAGCCAAACCGCCATAACCACTTAAGGAAGCTTCGACCGAAGTTGCTAGAGAATCTGCGCCGCGTACTAAGCGGATTTTCTCGCCTCGAAGTGCTTCCCGTTATATCTTTATAAATGGAACCACTCGGCTCTCTATGGAAAAGCGACAGGTCATATCACTCAAGGGATTTCTGAAATTATGCCACTTTATCGTTGATCGCCGAAATTCCGGGGAAATACGTATTGCTCTGTGGAACGTTAGAAGTACATGTTCGTCGTATTAAATTGTCTTTGGAAATCGACGTCTAAAGTATTCATTAAAGGTACGGTACCCTTGAAATTTTACAAAAAATGGTGCATTCGAAGTGCAGTAGTGTCTAAAGTAAACTGCAATGACGGTCTAGTAACCAACTGATTAAAATGATATTACTATTTGCTTGGATTATTCATTAAACTTTTCTGAGTCGAATGTGAACGTAAGGAATTGTTGATTGTAGCAGTTTTGATTAATAGTTAATTTTAAATGCAAGGTAAATTAGCGGTCAGCAGGATCTGTGGCGTCATCTGTACGTGAATGACTATAACAGCGCAAACAGTGAATTCCTACCTCTGATAATATCACTCACTGTATTTACGATTTTATGAAAGTCAATTATCTGTTCGAATGTAATTAGAGACTTAAAATATGTATGTAATTATTATAATTGTATATTCTAATTGTATCTTATAATTAAATCTCATAGTTGTTTCATATGTACTGTTTATATGTGTATGATTCTTTTTCTTCGGTGTGATATAATTCTTAAATTTGCCACTTTTTATGGTAGATGGCATATCACATCACATTTCTCGTTGGTAGTGACATCTTTACAGATAATAAATCTTTGTTAAGATTGTGTTACAGAATTTAAGTTTACAATTGTGTGTACAGTTTGTAAGTCTTTCACAATATGTTGGAGAAAACGTCAACTGCGGATAATCCACTGTCAAAGGAAGATTATTTAATAATGCGAGCGAAAGATGCATTACCGGTTGACATTTACGCTGCTAAGTCCTGGTTAATTACTGCGAAATCCTTATTTCCCCATAGCGCAAAAGTTCAGGTTAGGAAAAATATTTATCTGTCACTTTCACAAGTTACGCTACGTCTACTTAATATTTATTATTCATTTATTAGTTTGAAGCGTACCGGATAGAAAAGCTTTCGAAAAATGTGAAAGAAGCAGCAAAATGTTTTAGCGAAATGTAAGTACTGAAATAATTCAACAATTTATATACCTGTAAAAAAGTCGGTCTGCACGTTTAAACAATCGTGTAAACGTATGCACAGATTTCAGAATTTTCCAGATGACAGAGACATATGGAAGGAGATTGAAACAGTAACTGCTTGTCTTCGTTTGGAGCAGTGTGACCCAGAGGCAGAATTTTTGTGTCAGATGTTCCAACATGTACCTCAAGAACTTCAACATAGACTGCTCATTATGACTGCTGATCATAGTGAAGATACAATGGAACATTGTAAATTACTGCTGCTGTTATTGCGCAGGTTTCCACAGACTATAGCCACTCATGGAGTAAGTACCTTTAGTTTTGTCTTTGGTACATTTGTATTGATAGTCTTGCTTCTTAGTCCCTTCCATTTTAGCCACGTTTAGTAGAAACTCTTCTCACTGCAGAGAAACACAGTCATCCCGGACGTGCAGTGAATGGATTCAGGAGATTGTTAGCTTGTGATGCATTGCCTCTTCTTGGTACTGCACCTGTAGAACTGAATCCAAGACTCTGTCTAAGACTGTTATGCAAGGCAGTTGAATTTTATTTAGCATATATACAACAGCCACAGGATAACCAAATTCAAAATCCATGGGACAGGCTATTCCAAGTTGTAGAGTTAATTGGGAAAAAACTGGGTTGGGAATTAAGTAGTTTATTTTCCATACCCTGGAATAAAGACACTTATTGCGAAAGATTGCAACAATATGCTGTTGCACATGGTGCAAACTTATGCGAGGAACTAATAGTTAGGCAATTATTAATGTGTACTGTTGTGGTATTACTGAGAATATTAAATGAGCACAATTCATTTATTATTAATGATGAAACTACGTATTGTTTGGTGGAAGCATTTGGTGAATGTGTTCATTCACCTACAGGTGAGATACTATATTAATTATATATATGATACATTTTCAGTTAAACCTATAATCTCTGTAGTTTGTTAATTAATAGAACCAAAATTAAAAAAGCGTAAGAGGGACGACAATGGAGGAATTGCATTAACCAGCGATGGTGATTATAGCGGTAACGGCCTAGCATTAGCTGTAAAGTTGTGGGATTTGTTACATAGTAGCGATTATTTACAAAGAGAAATAGGGAAACTAAATCAACAACTTCGGCTAGACACTTGGCTAAACTTATTTTTAACAGACTTAGCTATGTACAAAGGGTTGCATCATGAAGTATTGGCAAGATTATCACAAGAAGCAGGTAGTTTATCTGCTCACCTTCGTTTAGCAAGTACATGTTTTTTCTTAAAAGATTATAAGGTATTAATACATTTTTATATTACTTCTCATTATTCATATATATTAAACTGCTATAATATTTCTAAGTATGAAATATTTTTTCAAGGGAATGTTGGAATATATAGTTTTAGTAGTCAGTGCACTACCTTCTGTGACCGGCAAGGTATCGCACAATTTAACAGTCCCCTGTGCAAGGCATTTGCATTATTTAACAATTGCTCGTTTCCCTATAATCCAATATTGCTGCAGGTTATTACTTTCAGCAATAAAGGTAAAGTAAATGGCACAAATATTACTTTTATTCAACTACTTTTTCATGGAATGTATGGTACTTATTTAAATAGGAAAACTTCTCTTTACCTGGAGGAGTTGGGGACTTAGCTATAGGACATGCGTTAGTATTAATGCAAATCGATTGGCCACAGGAAGCTAGTACTTTAACCACGATTACAGAACGAATTATTAATCGTGGATCATTCGCTTATCCGTTGTTTCAAGCTTACATTATTTGCGTGGATATTTTAGAAGAATTGACATATTTATGGACTGAACATGGTGGTGGTGTATCACTGGATATCGCAACAGCATCAGGAGTAGTACAAAGTATACTTCGTAGAGGTTGTTCACATAAATTTTTCACTTATTCCGACTGTATTTGTATTCAAATATTATAGATCGACGCATTACTACCCGTGGGGCTGATAAGGGAGTCCGCGAAGAAGTAAAGCAAGCGATGAGGCGGCAAGCAGCCCGCGACGGAATTGACCCGTTAGACGAATTGTTACAAAAGTTTATTCTTAACGAAAAAACCGCTATTCTACATAGTTTAATCATACAGTAGTTTTAGCCCTATTTTCGATAATAAATTTAATATATAATTTGAATAAAATTATATAATTTTTTATTTCAAAATATACACATGATCTTTTTAAAGCCAACTTTAATATTATATACATAGTAGTTAAAAGAAAGAGTTTGATTAACAATCTTCTTGGGAACGCTCCAAATATTCTCGATTTCGAGACTTCATCCTACTTTTTACATATCTCATTCACATGAGTCTTTTTATTTATATAGGATTAATGATACATGCTTATTGAATTTCCGTAAGTCAATTCAGATGTAAATTCTATGTTTTTTATGATACAATTAAGCAACAAAGTTCATATTCGAATAGATTCAACTATCCGTACTGCGGTGAACGTTACGGTAAGTTAATATAACATAAACATCTCAATGGATGAGAGTTATAAAAATTGCAAGTTATAAAAATGAATTATAGTAATCACTTTGCCTTCTACATTGCGTTTTATCTAATGTAAACATTTAATTGAAGGGCACTTAAAAGTAATACTTTAATACCGGGCATGAATGAGGATATTTGACTGAAATCAGGGCCTGAGACTAATTGCGTGTGTAAGTCTAAACCACCAGTGTAATTTCCATTTTGTACCATCTGTGATATTTGATGCATTGCTTGCAAAGTGTTTTGAGATAACTGTAAAATACACATATATGTATAAGTACATTATATTTAGAAATAATAATGGTATAATACATGGAGCATAAAATACGTACTTTATTTTCTCTGAGACAATCATACAGAACTTCCAACTTTCTGGAAACATCTTCTAATTTTCTTTTGATTTGCTGAAAAGAAAGATAAACGTAAGTTAGTATAGTATTCTGAGCATAACGAAATAAACTTTTATCATACCGGATTTTTAGCATTTTCGTAACATTGATTCTTCAGTTCATCAAATACTGTTTTCAAATGCATATGTTGTTCTGGAATTGGTGCTTTCGGTTTCTCTGGTTCTGGTGCCCTTGCAATTGTAGCAGGTTGCAAAGGTTCAACTGGTTTAGCAAACTGAGCATTCATATTTGGAATATTTTGGTTGTATTGCTGCGGGTTGTAAGGTGCTTGTACATCAGGATAAAACTTTTCTTGAGACATCACCTGACGAGAAAAAAGGCACGTATTGTTTTTCGATCAGTATGAAAATATGTAAATAACATTACTTACATTTGGCTCAGATTGCGGTGTGGCACCTCTCAGTGGATGTAGAATGGGATTTTGAGGCTGATACTCTTGTTTCGGCTACAAATAATTAAAAATTGTTGTGCTTAAATTTAATATATTCACTAGTCAACTTTCATCATAGTAATAAAATTAACGATTTGTACATATAATAAAATGTTACAGAGTTAAATATTCGCACAATAATTTTCTTTCATGAAGTAATTGAAAATGTATTTGTGCATTTCACACTGTGGTATTAGTCAATTCAATGTCACACGAAAATGAAACTGTTACTGGCAACTGATTAATTTGTGTTTACTTTTTTTTGTTCTTAAATAAAATAACACGAAGGGCGTAGACATTGTAACTACAAAAATAACAGCAATTACGAGACAAAGGTAACGTCACTCAGCTTCTGGCAGTTCTCTACCTGCATATTCACATTCTTCGAATGTTTTGCTTTCCATTTCCGGGTACCAGCATGTTCCGCAGACATTTCATTTTTGTGGTATAATGCCAGTATTGGCTGTGTTATTTAAATATATATGTACATACATATAACATGAGTACAAAGTATCAACTAATTACTATTTTAACATGCAAGTGGATCGATAATCAATATATAAAAAATTCCAAGATTCTTACCTGCAATCTACTTTTAGCGATTGGCGGGTCGTTCCATCCAGCAGGTTGTGGTGGTGCTTGATACACATTCTCGTTTCCATAAACATGAGTCTGTGACAATGGTTGTGTTCTAATTGGATCGTACATTTGATTTTGAGACGGAGGTTGCATTGGCGTCAACATGTTAGACTGAACTGGTTTAAATGGTTCCTGTTCTTTTGGACCGGTCGTGAAATTCTGTCCAGGATATGTATTTGTAGGCATAGGGATTTGTGGCTGATATGCATTTGACGCGGTGTAGCTTGATAATGGTGGAATTTGTTGATTACTGTATGGCGATGTTTGTTGAGGGTAACCAGTTTGACCATATGTTGAAGTAGATTTTACAGATGGATCTATTAGATATTTCGATCTTGCTTGAGGTCCAACACTGGACGGTCGAGATCCGACGCCACTTGATCCAGTAGGAGGTGGCGGAGGAGGAGGTTGAGAAACGGGTGCAGGATTGTAAGAATGAGATGTTTGATACTGGTCGTATTGCAGAGGAGATTGCATATGTGGTTGAAGAGGAGACAATCCGAAAGGTTGTTGTTTCTGTGTATTAAATTGATTTATAGGTGGTGTAAACGGTTGTTTTGCAGGTGCAACATTTGTATCAATATAAGGTCTTGCTTGTGGCCTAGGGGAAATCAATGGGTTTTGTGGATGACCTGTTTGCGAAGGTCTCCTTGTCTGATCGTAGTAATTTTGTACTCGTGGCGCTTTCGCCATGCTCTTTGATTCTTGAATGTATCCTAATGTTCTACACAACCTGTCTTTCAACATTACGATTCGCTCGTCTTGACTATTACCGAGGTAATTCAGCGCAGCTTCGAGATCACCTTCTGCTGCTAGCATTTCTGCGTACTGAGATAAAACGTTCGCGATTTTTCCTTCTATGCGTGTATCTCTGACACCTTGTAACTCCAATGCCTTCTGCATTATCATTACCAATTCTACAACTTCTTGAATGTCTACATTAGAGGACTCCACTATTTTGTTCAAATTTCCAGAACAGATATAGCAAATTTGTGCTTGTTCTTTGAGGCTTGAATTATCAGATGATACTAAACGATCTCCAAGCATATCTGCAGGAATCCAGAAAAAAATAAAAAAATTATTATCATATTTATGTCTGAGGATCATCATAAAGTTATAATTTCATACGCACCGCATAAAGTTGCTCGCTCCTGTGGATTGGAGTGGGTAAATATTCCAATCAGAACTTCTTTCCAGCAATTTATGTCACTATTTTTAACAATGTCTCCCCAGTTTTCACTAACTAGTGAATTGATAAGAGAATTAAGTGCTCCAGTATGTTCTGAAAAGTATCTGTACTGGGTACGTGCTAATAAGTCAGGTCCAGCGGCCATTGAAAGAATGACAGCATCTGCGTACCTTTTATTGGCAAAACATAAAGATACTGCAGCTTCAATATTTCCTAAGAGGATTGCTTGAGTAATAAGCCCATCCTCATCTATAATATATTAAATAAAGGTAACATTAGTTAAAAAATCAGATCATAAACTTAAGAGATATATGGATATGTAATAGAAAATTACCATCAGATACATTTAGTTTAATATTATTACTTATTGGCGTAGTAATAGATGTTTTTTTGTTTTGTTCTTGGGCAATAGCATCAAATGCTGCACTTCCGTCCATAACGTTCCCATTAAGTACCTAAAGAAATTATATTTTATCATTCACGATTATTTGCATTTTAAATATTACACAAATACAACTTACATTATTTAGATTATCAACTCCTTCTGTAATACTGTTGATGTCTTCTTGAGGAACAAACTGATTTAATTTATTGTTCATTGTTTCTACGTTATATCCCAATAATTCTAATATTTCTTTTGTTACATTTTCACCAAAATATGCACCCACACAGTTCCATATTTTTTTTCTATGTACATCAGTCGTTTTTTCAGCCTTTCCTTTACAATAATCGCTATACTGTTCAGTTTTAAGCACCTCTTCTAATTCATTAGAACGTTGAATTAATTCTGGTTGCGTGATTACTTGTGATATAATAACTGTTCTGTTTGAATTTGCAGGCATATTCGGATCTGCAGGTTGATTCTCAAATATTGTTAATTTACCACCAAACTAAACAATATTACCACTTTTAGTGAAAGAGTCTTCAGTTTGATATTATAATGTAATAAGATATATAATGTATTTATTATTGTTTACACTTAAAAGAAGTACTTACACCAAAAGAAACTCCAAATGGTTTTTTTAACCATTTAGGAGCTTTTGTCAAAACAACTGCTGGTTCGGATTGTATTGTAGGAGGAGGCTTAGTAAAAGGATCCATTCCAGGGAAGGAGTCTACAATTTTGTTAGATGTTTCAGTAGACAGCTGTTGTTGTCCACCTAATAAAGAATAAATTGCTGCATGTCCATCAAAACTAGTTCCTACAACTAAACCTGGATGTCTTGGACACCATGAGACATCAAAATTCCATTGATTTGTTTGTGCCAATTCACCAATTACTTCACCATTCTACATAAAAATAAAAGAAACAAATTAAATTTAGTTATATGAATAATTAATGCAAGTATATTATTTCAACATACTGGTGCATCTGAATTAGGATTCCAGCATAATATTCTGTTATCTTTGGCACAGCTTAGAAGTAAATCTGAATCATGTGGGTTCCATGCAATTGATAAAACCCCACGTTGATGATTTTGGAGTGTTTTTAATGGTGACGTTGCAAATCTTAGATCCCATAATTCTATTATGGGGGCCTGATCATCTTCCGATGCTAAACACAATTGTGTTGCAACTTCTGGATGCCATTGAACCACTTTCCACCTTACCTACATTTATAAAATTCTAAATATTAGAACTATAACATTGAGAAACGTGAACATGCCAAAATATATATACATGAAATTACTCTTGAATTTGCATCTGTCAGCTTAATTATGGGCTCATTCTTTCTTAAGTCCCATATAACGCACCGCTGTGAAAATGTGGATGCAAGAATGTGTTGCACTTGTTTATTCCATGCAATGTGTTGCACATCCTCTAATGGTTGACTTCTAGATCCAGGTGTCATTGGAGTATTTGTATTAACAATGTCCCAAATATAAATCTCACTTTCAGTTGCTCCAGTTGCCAATAAGTTCGCTTGAAATGGATTAAAATCAAGTGCTCTAACTGGGCCTGTGTGTCTGTCTGGACTACTTAGTAAACAATTATTATCATTGGTCAACAGTTTGGCAGCTGAATAAATCTTTATCATTCCATAATCACAACCACCAACGATTATACCAGCTGGATTATTACCATAAGAACCCCATATTATTTTATGAAATCTAAAAAATTCATATGCATGACAATTGGTCCAATTATATAATAATAATTCTATATAAATAAAATAAAAAAGCTTTTTAACCTATGGTCACTTGCAACACTGGCTTTCAATTCCAGATCCAGTCCAGGTTGTTGCAAATTCAATGAATATAAATCCAAGCTTGCAGATGTGTTAAAACTTGCATCAAGTTGTTGGGCTGCAGTTCCAGCAGCTAGTAATATAGGATACTGAGCTGGCGGTGACCATGCTACATTGACAGTCTTCAGCAACTCCTTCACCTTCATCTTTGTAATTCTATACTAAAAGTGCTTAGATTTTATATAAAATATAAACCAAATTTCTATATTTTCGAAGTTAAGAAATGTTTAACAATACTGAAGTATGATATTAATTTACGTCAATATTGTTTTATATTTCTAAATGTAACATCCTTACTTTCTATAAACAATAGTGTATCCAGATAAGCGAGTATCGTAAACTGAACTTTGAATAGGTAATCACGATAAAGTAAAAACTATATAAATATGAATGATAGTATCACAAATGTGTTGTACTCAATTCGAAGGTTCACCGACCCAATACATACTATCAAATTCTAACACGTGTTATGTGTACGCACTTTCATATTTATCATATGCGAAGCCACAAATGTATTACTCGTTTACACAATGTTTTCTCACCTTAGTGTATTCAATTAACAATAATTGAACGAAATATATAGAAATGAATCCTTAACGTCAAATGAGCAGTAGTCACCCGTCAACTTCTTCCAACGTGGCGAACCGTACGTTGGAATAGTGCTGACCTCTTCGGTATTCGTGGTCCATTTATACAGTCTACTCGATTGAACTGTTCTCCTCAAAAAGAAATCTTTACTCAACAATCAAAAATGGAAATTAAACATCCTCACTTAATCACGTAGATTTAATGATTAACTTGAAGTTTCATAGTAAATTAAATTGCATGAATAATTATTCTATAACATCGTTTACTCGTAAAGAAGTCTTTTTGAGCAGACTGTACCATGTATTTTCCTGAATGTAGGAGCCCGTCAACGATTTGACAGCGTCAACAAACCCTTTTAAAAGCTACACATCACCATATGTAATAACACATTAATTACTTCCGAGTAATTATTGTTTTGACTCCTACATTCATGCTTATGTCATTGATATTTAATACAAAAGTTATCAAAAGTGTGCTCATTATTTCGGCGCACTACATTTAGACTGTAGATTCTGTATGTATATCATTCCACCCACGTAAAGAATCAGGTTCGAGCTTAAGAATGTAAATTGCATAAGATACATGAATGTTCATTCTTATATATCTTTCCTCTTCTGTAATTCTGACCAAGGTTATTGATAGTCCCAAAAATACCGCAGTGCGACCCTGAAATACTATATAGTTCTTATCATTTCAGCAAAATTTTGTTTTCAAATTCATTCAATATGAAAAACGGAAACGAAGAAATCGTATAAAATAATTTATCTCCTCATTCAATAAAGAATAGGGCTACGGATCGTCTTGCTACGGCACTGTCTTATTCACGGCGTCCTAACAATTTCTTCAAGCTCATTCCAGTTGTTGAATAGGTGCAGGTACGGGTACGGTGTTTTCGCTGATTAATTTTACTCCGTTAATACGTTAATTCTATAAAATCATTAACGTGATATTACTCGACAAGAAAGCTTCATTCATTATGTGAGATTAATGAAAGAAGTCTTTTAACTGTGGTTTTACATTCCTTCAGAGAAAAAACTTGAAACTGATTTGAAGTGTCTCTCTCGGCTGATCCTCGATGTCATATTATCAGGATTAAAGGTGAACTATACAACTAGATTATCAATATTTTATTTTATATATAGTCGAAAAGATAATACTAAATATGAAATACGTACTGGCAATTAGGAATGATTTAATCGTTGGCGTTACAAACACGCGAGCGACGAAGTTTCGAAATCTAATTGCGGCCTTTGAAATTTCTTCCAGTCCAAGGTAAGCACCGAGGCTTTTTCCTTTCCCACGATGACCCGTCGTGAGAAACTCGTGATAACGGATGTCCGGCGTTAATGATAACAGCTAATAATCCCGCGATGAGATAAACGGGTCTATTCTAAAAAAATTAGTTAAGCCGAAGACAGTTTCCTTCAGACGAGATTCACGATGTGGCCAAGATTGAGAAGACCGTTCCGTACGTGGCCGATCATTCTTTCGATCGTCTTACTGACAGGACTATTTCTGGTTTGGCTGAACAAAATCCGGGAACCCGAAACTCGCAGTGACTACAATTCATTGCGGTAAGCAATCTATAAACAGAAAACCAGTCTTATATATTATGAAAAACACCATCTCAATGTTTTCCGCGTGCTCGTTCTCGAGTCCTGAAATTTAATTTGTGTATCGTCACCTGTTGCTTTCATCGGCGGCGAACAGAGGTTCTCAACTTCAGAGTTACGAAAAAAATTCCATTGAATATATATATGACCGATTATCATCGATCGTGTGAAATAGAAAGAACACTTTCGAATGCAAGTTTCTATAAAATTGGTAGACTATGATAGAAACCATTTAACTTCTAGATAATTCACGATAACCCTCTCGGGGTCGATGGCAGTCAGGTTGGGATGTCTTGATATGGGAAACCTTTACGTTTTTCTGTTCTACTTTTCATTCCCCTTAATTTTAGGTTCTTGGAGAATCAAAAAGATTACATAGATCGTAGAGGGATACATGTGGTTGTGGGCCATTATATCGGAGATTCCGTGGATCCTCTGAAAACTCCAAACATTACGAAAGGTACTTACGAGATGGTACATCGTTTCGGTGCATTTTCATATGAATTTAAATTTCTAAGAACTCATCAACAAGAACATGTTCAATCCGCGGCCATTCGAGGGGAAAAATGGTAGTCCGGTTCTCGTGCCAGCGAAGGATTTTTATAAAATGCAGCAGCTTTATCAAATCAATCGATTCAACTTAATGGCCAGCGACAGAATACCGTTAAATCGATCTCTACCGGATGTTCGGAGAAAAGGGTAACCTTCCTCTACCGTTTCCTGTTAATCTCATTGTCGGTAATGTAACAGCAGTCGGTAATTGAACGATTGTAGGTGCATTTCGCGGTACGAGTTTTCAGATAACTTACCGAGAACGTCGGTAATTATAGTTTTCCATAATGAAGCTTGGAGCACGCTTCTGAGGACAGTGTACAGTGTCATCGATAGATCTCCGAGACATTTGTTAGAGGAAATTATTCTCGTGGACGATAACAGCGACAGAGGTAATGTTGGACGAGTGTTGACTTTTAGTTCTCATTTATTTTACGGCTTATCAGGATTACACTGAATTTTTATTTTCGTCTGTCTCCATTAGATTTTTTGAAGGCTCCTCTAGATGAACATGTACAGAATTTACAAGTGCCCACTAAAGTTCTTCGTTCCAGGAAACGTATAGGTTTAGTGAATGCGAGACTTATGGGTGCTAATGAAGCTACAGGCGAAGTTATAACATTCCTGGATGCCCATTGCGAATGCACGGTTGGTAGGTGAGCTCTTTTCCTTAACAGAAGTGGGTAATAGTATGGAGTATAAGAAAGAAGTATTTAAAAATTTATAATGCATTTTAATGTATCTCAGGATGGCTAGAACCCTTACTTGAAGCTGTGGCTAAAAATAGAACAAGAGTCATATCTCCAGTTATTGACATAATAAACGACGACACTTTTAGTTACACTCGGTAAAAATGAATATTATATCCACGTCTTCTTTTAATTGGAAATTAGTGTTACTTAACAAACAATGTGCCATCGTAGATCCTTCGAGCTGCATTGGGGAGCATTCAATTGGGACTTGCATTTTCGCTGGTTAACATTGAACGGCAGGCTACTAAAAGAAAGACGAGAGAACATCGTTGAACCCTTTCGAACCCCAGCGATGGCTGGTGGCTTATTCTCCATGAACAGAGAATACTTTTTCGAGTTAGGTAGCTACGATGAACAAATGAGGATTTGGGGCGGAGAAAATTTGGAGTTGTCGTTTAGGGTGTGGCAGTGTGGAGGCAGCGTTGAAATCGCACCTTGCTCTCACGTGGGGCACCTCTTTCGCAAATCATCCCCGTACACTTTCCCCGGCGGAGTCGGTGAAATTTTGTACGGGAATCTTGCTCGGGTGGCTCTGGTTTGGATGGACGATTGGGCTGAGTTTTATTTCAAGTTCAATCCTGGTAACTGGATTCTAATTGATCGGTCGATTTATTTTATAATTAAAGTAAATAGGTCTGTTCCCTCGCAGAGGCAGCCAGATTAAGGGACAAGCAGCCAGTTAGATCAAGATTGGCTCTGCGCAAGAGCTTACAATGCAAAAGTTTCGAATGGTACCTGGACAATGTGTGGCCAGAACATTTTTTCCCAAAAGACGATCGATTCTTTGGACGGGTACACCTTGACAAACCTACCAACTGATGCGTTGTGTTGTACACCTGTCTAATTCGCTTCGCTTCTAGATCGTACACGTGTCGACGAAGAGATGCATTATGCGGCCAACCGCGAAAGGTACTTACTCGCAGCCTTCCGGTTACGCGGCCCTACAGCCCTGCGTTCCGCGGCCAATACTTAGTCAGATGTTCGTGATAACGAAAAGTGGGGTCGTGATGACCGACGAGAGTGTGTGCTTGGACGCTCCTGAACACGATACGCAGCACAAGACACCAAAGGTTAAGATAATGGCATGCAGCGGCAGTGCGAGGCAGAAGTGGCAGTACGACCACCAAGTAAGTTATCAGGAGCATAAAAAAACAACGATGCAAATGGATAATACGTATCATGAATAAATGTTTCCCTAGACAAAAACATTCTTGCACGTTCCTTCGGGCATGTGTTTACAAGCGAGCGATGACGAAGGTCCTGTGATAGCCGACTGTACAAAAAGTATCGAGCAGCAATGGCTGCTGGAACCTATTCCATGGAAATGACACCAGTATTCTTTTCCCTGCGATTCATCTTATTGACGATCGTGAGCATGTTATCAAAAACAAAATGCGAGCGCAAGATACCCATTAACACACTTCCCGACGAATGTACGACTTTTTACTTTTCTACGCGCGGATGTATGACTTACTGTAAATAAATCATCCGTAAACATTCCCCCCAGGATCGCAAATCAATCTTAACGTTTAACGTTCGATCGTACGCCCGGCTAGGCGTTCGATTCCGTACATATTTATAGAACAAAGTAATCGTCGGCGGTCGAATCGGTGCCGGTGCCTTTGTGCGATAGAAAAAGAAACCGATGATTAGATTTCTATCGACCAGTTTGGCGATATCCGAGACGAACACACGTGCGCGCGTCGCGGACACGTCTCTTCGCGGACTAATTTAGAAACTCCTTAAGGGGATAATTCGTTTTTGTCGATTCCGGAGAAGATGATGCTCGCGGTGATTCACCGTGCTAAGGCTACACGTGTCGAGTCATCTTTGTTGTCATCGTCATCAAGGCTGTTTCGCTATTATGATTGCGTGCGCCAGGGATGACCGAGTTGTATATTAATATTCCGCTCGGAAATCCGCGTTTCTGTTCGTAAAACGAAACCAGACCGCCCGTGCCGCGGGACCCGTCTAGGAAATATCGCGGTATTCTCATCCGTACAGAACACGTCAGCCCGGCACGAGCGAATTCTGATCCGTCAGACTGTCTGTCGTAGTTTTACCGATATCTGGGTCAAAGTCGCGTCCTCGGCGAGGCCAAGAAGCCATTTAGCTGGAAGCGGCCTAGTCTCTCCCGGTTCGTTCGGCATGTGTATACGATCACCTCCAGGCCAAGTTTGGCTGAGATGAGTGAGCCTTTATTTATGGATCGGTAACGAACGTTCCCCCGCGCGAGGAGACCGCATCCTCGACGCCGCTCGTCTTCCAGCCCCGTGACGGGCAGCGCGCGGCGAGGACAGGTTGAACTCCGTTCGATCGCGTCGCGGATCGAAGTGGCGCTCGAAAAACACGCAGAAAAACGACGAAAGACGAGCTATGAATTCTGATGTTCCCCGCCGTTGAATTCATAATGCGGCAGGGGTGCGTCAAAGATCATCGCTGCAAGAAACATCGCGGATCGATACGTTCATGCATATTGTTCGGTCACCGGAAGCGTAGACGGCCCCATGAATATTCCTGCTCGGCCAGCCGTGGAAAAATCTAAAGAGGATCGTAAAACTGATTCAAAATAAGTCTTCCGTCACGTTCGCGGTGCACATCGTTCGCACGGCCGAGGGAGATAGAATGCGGATGTAGACCAGCGACCGGCAAAAAGTGTCATCCATCAGATTTACGATTCGATGAGAGGACACGGCGCGGAAAACAGTGTTATTGCGACGGACGGGCAGCTCGCGGTTCGACGAAGACAGCTCTTTTCGACTGTCCGCTCTCGCGGTCACGTTCGCCGACTCGTTCTGGTTCTCACACACCGGCGATGACCCTCGACGGGCCAGCGGTTATTTTCTCGCGTTAATTGCCATTCCGTTTTCTACCGGAGAGAACGATGATTTTCTGGAAGCGGCGGGGTCGTCCGTCGAATAGCCAGAACCGGCGAGTTTCACGCGGCCGGCTGATTTATAGAGGCGTCCGAGCCACGAACCGATGCGGTAGGATATTCCGCTGTCCGGTGTCCGAGAGAAAAGGATAATTTCGAGCAGACTTCATATAAATGCGATTTTCCTCGGAAATTCTAGCAGTTCTCGGTAGGACCTATTAGACTTTCATATCTGTCGGGTTGCGGACGCTCGGCGACGAGCAGATTTTCATCCGCTGTCGTTCGGAGTCTACGTGACTACGCGTCTTCTCCATCCGGTAGAACGAACTGAAAGAAACGAAAGGGAAAAATGGGACAGTCCGAACGCGGGAGTGCGAAGGATACGGGGCGACGAAGAAATGGGGGAGTTTAATGAAAGGTTCGGGCGAGGCGAACGCGTCGCGATCGTGGTAGGGGGCGGAGAAAGTAAACGCAAGCACGAGACGAAAGTTCCTTTGAAACGTATCTTCTACGTGTCGTTGTGTACATATATTTCATACACATACATATATAAAAATTATATACATACATGTATTCTTCTTCCTCTGCTTTATTCGGTTATTAACATATGAACATATATACACTCACCACTATGCTACGGGACGCGCGACTACGGAGCTAGAACACTTTTTTTGTCTTTTTTCTTTTGTTACGCGTTAAAAGTAGGTGCTACGAACGGTCGACCGTTCGTTCGGTAGGTTCGCGCCTCTCGGCGGGCGCGATTCTTCTTCGTCCCTGCGTCGAGATCGTTCGATGGCCGCCATTAACGGCTCCGTCCAACAGTTTTCGTTGCTTCCGAGTGAATGCATTGATCGTCGTCAATCGCGTTGAAACGTTCGTTGAATTTAAAATTTCTTCGGATCGAATGGAAAGTCGTTGATCTCGAGGCGGCGACGGCTACTACGTCCAGCTTTCGTTCGGTTCGCGAGGCGAGGCTAGGCGAGGCGGAGGCGAGGCGCACGGTCCCTCTCGAATCGTTAACTCGTAAACCAAGTCCCCGCGTTCCTTTCCTCTAATTCCGTGCCCGCGGTTCGCTCCGATATATAATGCTTCAAATCTGCCGCGGAATCACGCTTTCGAGTTGTACCGCAGAAAGGTACGTGGCGTGGAATAAGAGGAAAATGATCAGCGCGAGAGGGTCCCCGCCGATCACGCCCGGCTGGCTTTTCCCAGAGTCGTAAACGCGCGGATTTAGTTTACGGCCTGATACTTTGACTAACAGCGCGAACAACCCTACCGGCTGGAATAGAGTGAGCATATATGAACCAGTTGCGCGGCACAAGCTTACGATCTAGCGGTTTCAGAAAGGTAACGAGCGCTCGGATAGCTTTCGTCGGCCCACGGCGCGCCGCGTTAAGTGCCTAAACAGTAAATACGTATAACTCGGTAACCTCGGTCAAATCACAATCGTCGTACAATTTACATACTCATATCTCTGTATACGTGTACCTCTGTGTGTGCGTGCGCGTGTGTGTATTTCGTGTTTCTCTGTTCGTGTGAATTTATGTATATATATATTATTATCTATATAGATCCATTTGTATACATATATCTGTATAGACCGTATATCAAAATTAAACGCACTCTTTCACAGTTCGCTTGGTACATCTCGCACGCGGCTGACTATTGATTCGTTGGGGGTGCCGGGGACACTGCGTTCTTCGCCCTTTCGGGACGACCCGCAGTGTTCTCCGTTCTCGCGTTCTCGGCCGATCGCGCGCAGGGCTTCGCGAGGGACGCGGTCTCTCTGTCCGTCTCGATCGACGTTGCACGATCTGCTCGCGAGATTAGCTGCCTTTCTTTCGAGCACGTCGACGAGTTCCGACGATTCGACTCTCGGAGGTCGTCCTGTTACGCGGCCGTTGTCGCGCGATCCTCGAGCGAATCGTCGTCCGCGAGCCGACCGACGTCGGTCCGTGAACTCGTCGACGCGCGTGGAAAACCGGCACCCTCGCCGACGACTTCGACTAACTAAATTGAGCCTCGATTCGAATATCTACGGTAAACGCTGCTACGCTCGCGCGTCGTCGGTGGAACATCGAACGTGAACCAAGACGAACGGATTTGTCTCGCGGACTGCCTTCCCACTGACACGACGCGGAGAAGAACGCGACGTCGGGAACGATCGGGCGCGCGGAACCGCGAGCTCGCTGGCGGGCGCGGGGACCGCGGAGCAGGTTCCAACGGTAGCGGATTTTCTGTTCCCGTTTTTCGTCTAGCCGCCGGCTGTTGCAACGCCGATCGGCCCGACAACGACCGCGAGCGAGCCGGCGACCAGTGAAATCACGCGTGTAAACTGGAACGAGATGAGATCGAAAAAAAGGCGGCGCGTTCTCACGTCCGCGCGCGATTTCGCGGGATAAACGCTCTTCCCTACCCCGGCACCGAGAGATTTCGCGGCTTCTCTCCTGTTTTTATCCACCTCTTCTTCTTCCTTTTAGTCGGCGACGTAACTGCTCGACGGTGCCCCGGCATTCCTCGTCGACGTCGATTCTTATCGAACCGACACGCTCGATGCGACCACGATTCTGCGAATGTTGTCGGATCGGGAACGGATTCGTCAGTTACGCGACCAGCGATTTCGCAACTCGAGCGAGATGAAGGAAATCTGTCGACAGCGGTGAAGCAGAGGTAGAGAAAGGGAGAGAGAAAGAGAGAGAA